CCATTGTTCTTAGGTTGGAGGCCATTGCTCTTAGGTTGGAGGCCATTTCTCTTAGGTTTGAATCGGAACATCGTAGTGCCTTATGTCCCTTTGCTCGCTTAATTGATAAAACAAGTTGTCGGGTGGGTCAAAGTTCTACTCGGTAACTAGAAGGTGACCTTGGGGAACTAGACGGTTTTCTTCGGAAACCTATCTTCGGGAATAATTAAACTAGGAACTAGAAGCTACTAGGAGCAAAGGGCATCGCTACTAGGAGCAAGGACACTACTAGGGGCTCGTGGCATCGCTACTAGGAACTAGAAGCTACTAGTAAAAATTCCATATATAACTAGATTTGGCAACTGGACGGTTTTTTGGACACTGTCACACGCCCCCCACCCCATACGTGTCACAACATGTCATTAAAAAAAACATCCCCGACCCAGGGGCCAGCGGCACAGCTGCACCTCCCAGTCGTGCTCCATTCATGTAATCTGGAAGAATGCAGTGTGGGGTTTCTGAATAAAGCTTTCTGAAGCATGCAAACAATTTTTTGAAGATCACAAAATAGTTTCCAAACATCGCGAAGTTTCTGAAGAGGAGCTGCGGAAGAATACCAAATAGTTACGGAAGAACAGTTTCAGAAGAATGAGGAGCTTCAGAATTTGCATAGGACATTGTTCTTCTCAAGTATAAGATCCATGCCAGGCGGCTGCTGTGCAAAACCTTCGGTCAAAGGAACTCTCTGCTGCAGGACATGCCTGGACAAAATCCGTTTCCGTGACCACAGCCACGAGCCCTTACTAGCGTCCTTGCTCCAAAAAACCCAAAACAATTCAACCGTTTCGGTGACCACAGCTCTGCTCTTTGTCTTCACGAGGTGATGACGTACAACAACCATGCTTTTCGACCAACACAGGCTTTCATGCTGCGTTTTGCTCTTCAGGTCTTCAATTTTTATCTTCCTTTGTTCAGAGGCATTGAGTTGTCACTACCGATTTCTAGTAGAGACCAGCGTGCTTAGCGTGCATGTTTGGGTTTGTGAGCTTGACCTGACACCTCTTTGGGAAAAATGTAGTAAAACTTCTTTGCTAGCTGTAACCACATGAGACCTTAACGGCACATGAGACCTTAGCGGCCCTACCAAACTCTTGCTTTCCAACATGCGAGTTGCAAAAGACGCCAGAAAGCTGGTGCCAGCTGTGGGGTGAGCGGGGTCTCCTCAGGTATTCGAAAGACCAGCGAAGGCGCCGTCGCGGCCGTCGCAGCATCCACATCGACCGCAGAGAGGAGCCACCCAAAGGTCGCGCCGCTTAGCCTCGGACGCTACTAGGGGCTCCTGGCATCGCTACTAGGAGCATTCTTACTACTAGGAACAAGAAACTCTAAAATTTTTGGTTCTTTGTTTCTAATAGCAACGACCAGGAGCGGCCTTCGGGGCCTTCCAAAGGTGGTCTCCAACCAAGAAGCAATGACCTCCACCAAAGACTTATTGTAAAGCAAGACTAGGATCCTTCAAGAGGCACGAATCCACTTTCTGAAAAAGCTGGCCTGTACCTTCCTTTGAATTGTTGGTCTTTTTTTGAAGCTTGGATCCAACTCCAACCCGTGGAACAGCGTCAGGTGGCGAATACGGAATGGGGTAGAGTTAGAGTTAGAGCTGTGCTCAATTCTTTGTATGATTGTGAGTTCCTGCTCCGACACCTTATTTCCACAAACCATCTATATAATTAAGGAATTCAGATACATAGCGTACCAGAAATCAAGAGGGAACCCACAAACCCGAATGTAGACACGTACTGGAAAACAGGCGCCAAACAATTTTTGACACTCTTGTAGGAGACACTTTTGTGGGACACTCTTGTGGGAGACTCGGAGGCTACTAAAGTCTCCAAAAGTCAACCGTCACGGCTCCAGAACGAGCTGCGCCTGCCACGAAATTCGTGCTTCCGCACCTCAAAATCTGCACAAAGTACTGCGCCTGCCACGAAAAGCGCCAATCTAAGATCATGTTAGCTTCAGCAGAATCTGCACCACACCACACGTTTGGAATGATTTCGGCACGTTCACAGCACGCTCCCAGCCACCAAAATCGTCAATTTAGCTGAGACTTGTCACGAAAACACAGCTTCGAAGCAACAGCCACAAACGCAAATCCCAATGGCACAGCCACAGCCAGCACCCCCAAAACACCACCCTCCAAACACCAATCCCAATTGCCGACCTCACAAAAAGCTGTGCCTGCGCAGTGAATTCATCCTGAACTCCTCCCACATCCAACATCCCAAAACAACAGTGTGCGCGACGAATCTGACGATCACCCGGCATCGACTTACTACCCCCAGCGCGCCCCACCGGGACCACACGACGACCCGAGACGATGAGTTAGAGCACGCATTTGGGGAAAAACAATGCTGGTTTCTGTTTAAACACGCTCTTCTTAGGTCTTTGATAGATCCGGACCGCAAGATAAAAGGCCTGCTTGTTACGTCATTCTGGAGGCTTGCTAAAGCGGCTTATCCAGGCTGACGAGGTACAACAAATTCATTGAGATCTCCAGGCGCTCCTCCTTGTAGAGGAAGGCCACTGTGGCACCTAGTTGCAGCTCCCCCCTCCCTGCTTAATTAAGTAGGCGCCTACTTAATGGGAGTAGACAAGCTTGTTGCGCGTTCCAGACTTGCTCTGCACCTTCGCATCCCTGGGCACCTGGATCTAAGCCTTCCGCAAGAAGCTGCTCGTAGCGCGACACAGCAGGCTGTGGCGCAGGTGGCTTCAGCAGCGGTCCTGTGAGTCAAAAGAGGAAAAGGCTAGTAGGTTGGAGGCCATTGCGAGTAGTCATTGCGTTTAGGTTGGAGGCC